TGTTGTCACTTTGAGCGGTTCTTGTAGAGTATTGGGGGAGTACACGTGGGACTTAAAAAATCTCACGGGAGTAAAGGTGAGCACGGTCGTGTACGTATTAGAATCGTTAACTGATCAGTATGATGTGTTAATAGGGTGTGATGTCTTAGACAAAGTGGGATAAGATGGAAGGTGGTCATGGAAATCGGGAGCTGACCCTGGGAACAAAAATGTATCGCGGAAAATTGAGAACGAACGGTAAGGAACATCACATAGAGGTGATTGAAAATGGGGAGTCAAGGGTTGAGGCGTTACTTTCAGAATTTACCGATATATTTTATAAAGAGGGTTATGCATTACCAGCGACTGGGAGAACGGAACATGAAATATATTTGAAGAAAAATAAAATTTCATACACGAAGGGCCGAAGATACCCTCAGTCGAGGACAGGAATAATTAAGGATCAAATAAATGACCTTCTTCGTCAAGGGATTATAAGACACAGTACCTCACCGTTTAGTAACCCCCTGTGGATCGTCGAGAAAAAAAAATTAAGTCAGCAAGCAGATCCCTCATATCGTCTCGTGATCGATTATAGGAAGCTTAATGAAAATACGGTAGAGGAACGTTACCTCCTTCCGAGGCTTGACGATATGTTAGATCGGTTAGCTGGTGCAAGAATTTTTTCTACGCTTGATTTAAAATCCGGATATCACCAAGTGAGGATGCGAGAAGGCGATATAGAAAAAACAGCTTTCACGTTCGGTAGAGGACATTATGAGTTCATACGAATGCCGTTCGGGTTCAAAAATGCGCCTCTCACGTTTCAAAGGCTGATGGATGAATTTTTCCGTGGATTGGGGGAGGATTATTGTCAGATCTACATGGATGACCTTATCGTTTTTAGTCTAACACCGTCACGGCATATCATACATCTTAAGTTAGTATTCGAACGAATTCGTGAGTTTGGCCTACGGTTATCGAAAGAGAAATCCCATTTTTTCAAAAAGGAGATGAAATTTCTTGGACATTTAACTTCTGAACAAGGAGTTAGACCAGATCCAGCAAGCGAACGGGCACTCGGAGCCTTATTATTTCAGGAATCGAACGCGGGAGACAAGCCTATAGCATTTGCAAGTAGACAGCTATCCGACGCGGAATCAAGGTATAGCGCGCTGGAACGTGAATTACTGGCAATCGTTTGGGCGGTGGATCATTTTCGACCGTATATATTCGGGAGAAGGTTTACGCTCCGTACCATAAGTCGCTTTCATGGACGGACGGACTGAAGGAATCATCAGCTCGAGTCGGGCGCTGGTAGGAAAAATTACGTACGTACAATTTCCAAATCCTATAACACAAGGGAACTAAAAATGTCGTAGCAGACTGGTTGTCGCTTCGCTTTATACGTAAATGGGCAGGACCCTCTGCGGATACTGTCGGAGACAACACATCTCTTGACAAGGAGGACACAATGGATGCCGATGAGAGCCCAACGGAAACACGTCATACCCAAATCGATGAGACGGATACGATAATCAACCAATACACACGGCAGATTATTTGAAAAACGCGTACGGAAGGAGTTTCACGAACGGACCATGCAAAATGCGGCCGGCATAGTATCGTCACCGTATGGACTGTCCCCTCGGTTTCATCGCCGGACATTGTACATATTCTTAACGATATTACTAAACAGGGCAAAACATACCATATGTATGTGGGAAATAGGACGGTTTTGGATCGTATTAAGCATTTGCGGGAAACGGAACGTATAGGGGCCGATAGGAATCTCATTTTATGTGCAAAAATGGTTGAAACGGTTAAAGAGCCAGAGCGCCAAAATGAATTAGTTAAAGCCTACCACGAAGGAAAGACTAATCACCGTGGGGTTCCGGAAACTCTTGTGGCATTACGGCGCAGATATTATTTGCACCACATGCCCCGATCGATTCGAGAAGTTTTAAAGGGGTATATAATATGCCATCGGGCAAAATATGACAGACATCCACTTACAGTCCATCCAGAGGTATCGCATACGCCGAATTCACCATTACTAGACATACAGGTTGACATATTTACTAGGGAGGGGTCTCACTGACTGACGATAGTGGACAACTTCAGTAAACTAGCAATGGCACATCCTCTGCAGAACGAAACCGCGGACGCTGTCTGGGACGGAATGCTGGGATGGATGGCGTGTTACGAAGTGCCGCGCACTATAACATCAGATAACGGGAGAGAATTTAAGAGCGCTCGTACAACGACTGAATGTGCAGAGTTGAACATGAAATGGCATTATAACTCACCTGGTAATCCACAAGGGCGCGAAGCCATTGAACGCCTCCACAATACATTAGGGAAACATCTCCGCCTGTTCCAACTACACACAGGGCTTGAGGCTAATGCGGCAATGCCGCGAGCCGTATTAGCGTTTAATAACACGATTCATTCGGCTACGGGGTTTACGCCGGTTGAAGTAGTGTTTGGACTTCTTTTACGGAATAGAGGGGATTTGCTTACAACCGCATACGCGCACCAACGGAACGCCGTGATCCATAAACGTAAACAGTTACGGGACATATCTCAGAGAATTCAGTCCAAACTTCTTAACGAAAAACTTTCCAGGGCGAATCGTACATGCCTAGCGACGCCAGATGAATCACATAAAATTTCGCTGGGAATGACGGTATACTGCCAACCTCCGTCGGGTCGGAAAAAGGGAGATCAGAGATATGAAGGGCCCTTCAGAGTGATAGCATTGCGTGAGCATAATATAGTTTCTATTCAGGAGTTACCAGGTGCTCAGAAAGTCCGACATACTCACATACGGGACCTTCGCATTCCTCTCGATCAAGAAAAATCATAATTGTAAAAGGTCAATTTTTTATTATAATCACTGTGGCTTTCTTATAAAAATTGTGATTACATATTTGTATTAAACGGTATTTGATGTATACATTATATAGTTTATACAATAAGAGATAAAAGAAGATTTATGTTTATTTTTGTAATTTCGCTAGTTAAGTAAATTGTTTTATTTATGTACTTTTGTTTAAATTAAGGAATTATTTATGTTGTATGTATTGAATACTCGACAATTTTAGTTTCATTAATTGAAGAACCTAGAGTTCACCTTGTGAACAGTGGCGGGGGTGATAAGTAGCGTATGTAAATAAGGATTGTAAATAAACAATGTAATGCTATAAAAGCCGATGTAAAAGGTAAATAAAGTCAGTATTATCCAGACCACGGTGGTGTTCACTTTATGCCCTTGTCTTCCTTTTTTTTATCTTTTGAGTCCGTACGTGTTTTAACGTTTTATATATTTTAGTTTATATAGTTTTATATATATATATATATATATATATATATATATATATATATATATACATATACATATAGATAGATAGATAGATATAGATATATTAATATACAACCAGTGGATCTAGGATTAAATCTTTTTTAGGGGGGGGGGAGGAGCTTCAGCCCGAACGCTTTTTTTTCAAATATATAATGATCGTTAATTATAAAAAAAAGAAAGAAACTAATTACTTATGACATGGAGTTTAAGTGAATCTTGAAGTCCTATTAAATGTAATTACACGAACAATAATACTTTAAAAGATAGTTCTAAAATATTTTTTTTCTTTTAAGGCATGGTGATATTTTTCCATTTTGGAAGGGAAGCTTCAGGCGGAAAGCCTCTCCCCTCTTTCTCTCCTCCCTTCGATCCGCCTCTGTAATATACTACCAATTCTCGATTTAGTAATCGCGCATCAAGATTATGTAATTTTTGGGGTTTAATTTTTGGGGGTCCACTATTATGTTATCGGGGACGCTTTTCTATTAGAATAGGCATTTGCGTAAAAACTAAAAATTGTGCAATTTGAAATCCGATAGTATTTTCATGAAAAGAGGTCCAATAACATAATAGTGGACCATAATATCGATTAAACCCTAAAATTTACAAAAACTTCATGGGAAATTCGAAATTCGAGAGGATATTCATGAAAGGCGTCCTCTACAACTTAAAAGTGAACAGTGATATCGATTAAATCCGAAAAGTTAGAATAACGTGATGTCAATTGCGCAATCTAAAATCCGACAGTATTTTCATAATAAGCGCCCTTAGCAATAGAATAGTGGACTTGTAAATGACAGAATAAACCACTGAGTAAATTTTATCATTGAATACATTTTTTTTCGTGGATATTTTATTAAAATGCGTATTTATTCCAACATATGTTTATTGAATAACATTTTTTCAAATAAAAATACTCTCGCTATTAATCAGATCTACAGTTTATTATAGGAATCGGCTTTCACTAAAAATTTAGTGATTGGAAATTTATTGAATAAATTACTCTTTAAAAAATCATTCCATATCACCCTACTGTGTAACGTACGTACTTATAGCCTTAGGCTAACTAGCTCGTCGACTTTTCTAATTTTCTTAATCGATTTCAGTTTACATATTCCATCCATTCATCCAGCTTATTTGTTGTCAATTTTAATATAAATGAACAAACTTCACAAATTCTAAGTTTAAATTACACCACTGCCTGTCCAAGTTTCTTCATTACAGTTTTTAAAACTTATGGTCATTAAATAATTTTAAAAACTTCGATAGAATTATATTTTCAATAAAAATAAAAGGGAACTAACAAGTAAACAATGATAAATAAATAAACATAATCTATACATGTCACTTAAAATATTTTAAAATTAAACATAAAATAATTCAGACATTATAAATAAATGAAAAATCAAACCAAGCTCTATAAAAGCTAACAATGTTCTTTCTAAAAAAACCATCGACTTATCAGCTAAAAACAATATGACTTTTAACTAGAAAGAATTATTAAATGAAAGAAAAACGTTGCGCATAGATCTATGATTGATAAAAGTAATACTATATAGGTAAATTAAGTCTAGAAATGATTACACCAGAAATATGGAAAAATAATTCAAACTCCTACATAACTCTCAGCAAATTGAAGAAAAAAACAAACTTAAAATCACCTTTTAAAGAAATCATTTATTAAAGGGGCCACAACTTCAGGATTTTCAAGATGCACATGATGACCACCATCAACTGTGACATTTATGAGATTTCCACCTTTATCAATTTTTTTCAAGTGGTCCCTCCATAAATTTAAATCGGACTTACTAAAATGAATGGTAATTCCATTTTTTGCAACTATGTTCAAAACATCAAATGAAATCCTCTCAGCAAGTTCAGAAAGCATTTTATCAGTACATCTACCGACAGTGCGAAACTTCAATCTCTTGTCATGAGTGAACCTATATTTATTTTCAGCGATTTTTACTGCACCTCTTTGGGCAATAATCTCGCAGCTCTTTCGTGAAATGGGCAAACCAGTTTGCCTCCGACCTTCGAATAATTTCGAAACAGTTTCTTCCCATGAAAATCCTTGACCATCATTCTCATTTTCAAGATCATAGTTACAATCTTCTGTTGAAACACGATAATCTTCCACAAATTTACTCACATCACCAGCTGTCCAAATGCGAAAACAATCAAGATTGACCATGCGTTCAATGTGTTCTGGGTAAATACCAGCATAGGTAAAAACCACACTGCTGCCAAAAGAATGGCCCATTAGACTAACTTTATCCCACTTAAAGTATTGGGTAAATATATACCGCAGAGTAAACAAGTATTGATGGAATTGTACAGATAATCCTTTAGGGAAATGTGAACTGAGTCCATGACCAGGTAAATCCAAGCACAGAACACTTTTAATGTTCAATAGAGGCAACAAAGTATCGAATGAACCGGCATTATCGTACAATCCATGGGTGGTAACTATTGGTTGAGTCTGTCGGCAGCCCCACCATTTACCTGCAATGAAAAAAAAGGACAATTCATTCAGATGCGAATATTATTTCTTTATTTAATTATTCTAAAATCATAAAAGTTAATGAAGTCGTATGAAAGGTTAAGGAGCAAATTAATATAAGTTTTGCCTATATTTTGTAACTGATTCCTTACAATTAATACTTGTTTCTCAAAAACCACTTGAATTCAGTGTTATTTTATTTATAATTTTGTTTTCATGCTTTGCTCATCTTGGATTTACAGTGTATAATATACCAATCGAATCACTCTTTTTTTTGGAAGGGGGGAAGGTTCTGGATTAATTTTTTTCAAACCTATGAGAAATTCCAGAATATATTCTTCTAATACACTCGGACAAGTAAATTTTCGTCATGAAAAAGCAATTCAGATTCTTTTCTAGCCTCCCTCTCAAAACTCTTAAACACGAATATGTATAGGAATAAAAAATATAATTTCTTGGACCTAGTTTTATTGGAGGATTTCTTTGCTGCCTCACTACCGAAAGTAGAGTAACATTTTGTTCCTGCGAGAGGTTAAAACAATTTTGTGCTCGGAATCGAAAATTTCTACTCGCATTTTACGTTTCAGACATCACGGATCAAATTTGGTTCGGTGTTTGTCTGTAGTCAAATCGATATGACGGGCATATCACCTAGTACCTTTCATCCAACTTCCATAAAATTTTCAGGGATTGTGCGAGTTGGTGCCTAGATGGTCCCATATCAATCTTATCAAATACATCCAGCACTTCCGCTTGCACACGCGCAAACGTACTTTTTTAGATATGCCAATATTTCAGAAATGGCTCGTTCGATTGGGTTTAAAGTTGGATAGGGAGGTAATGGTGAAAAAATAACGTAATTTAAATTTTATTGAATTCTGTCCACTAATTTCTGTTATATATGCGCAAACGTGTTTTCCTTGATACGTCTATCTCGTTAAAACCACATGTTCGATTTGGCTCAAATTTGGAGGGATGTGAGGGATCGGTTAACAGATAATATAGTAGGTATGAATTTTATCGAATTCTATCCACTACTCCTAAAAAAAAAAATACTTTTGCTTTCGGATCAGTAAATTTATTATTTGAAAAGCCTATACTTTGAAAACTAAAGGTTCAATTTGACCCAAACCTGGAGGAATTTTGGAGAATAGTGTAGAAATTACAAAGTATGAATTTTATTGAATTCAATTTAATAATTAAAATGAATTTAAATAATTATTAACTATATAATGGCAGTGAAATGTGAAAGGCACTGATCATATGGAGTTGAAGTTAGGTTAAGACGTTATTTTTATGGGATTATAAAATTTTAGGTTTTATTCGAAGAGTTAATTTCTACTGTATTGTTTGTCGATTCCAAACGTTAGTGGCATGATACTTCCTGCCGATACTTAGATTTCGTGTAATTTTCAATAAATCTAAATTAATCTTTACTCGGAGTTTGTAAAAAAAAAATAATCTTATTTATGATTGTGTTTATTTCTATTGAAGTTCTACTACCTCGTCGTGGTATCGAGTTTCTGTGTGATTTTTACATGTATTTTTAAATTTCAGCTTAAATAGTTTTGTTCTGATTGAAGTTTAGTTTTTTTATTAATGTTTTGTACCATCCATTTTGCAAAAGTTCGTATGTAAACATTTTCAACTTTTAATTCTATTTGTGCTAAAGGTGACATTTTGTATTCTGCAACTGAAATAAGCATTCTGCTACATTCTGATGAAAAATAGCAGTGCGCAATAAATTATGAAGTTATACTTATAAATCATTAAGAAACTATTAGTTTTTGTGATTTCCTGTAAAACACTCAATGTTTACGTACGACCTTATACACTAACAGTAGTGATATTCATGTTCAGTACGCACTGGCTTTATTTTTTAATCCCGAATCAGCAAATATGGAATCTATTTATGCGGATCTTTTTCGCATTTTAGCATTCGCTGATGAACAAACCTCGTGGATATCAAACGGCTTCCGGTTTCCGAAAACGGCTTCTTACAGAAATTTTATTCTCACGCGAAATATTTTTGATCTTGTAATATAGATATTTTTTAGCCAATGCAAGCGGTGAGAACGCTATACTGACCTTCCTTGGCAGACTTTTTTCTTTCGTTTATCTCCAATAATAAGGCCCATTGTTTATATTTTATTTATTTACCACCCTCCCTTGCCTATTGGGCTATACGGACGTTGGCAGTAGTAAGACGTTATAAATGACTACTTAACAAGAAACTACTTCAAGTGAAACAGGTTACAAACTTTTATCTTCTGTGACTTCTGGTCAGGGGTGACCGTCTTCCGGCTGTCTTCATGGGGCCGGTCCTCCAATGTTGAAGTGAGATGGACCCACTGCCTCTTCCCTGCCATAAATAAATTTCTTGAACCGCGAGAAATTCTCCTTACTTACTAACCGAGGAAGTTAAACCTCTGATAGGCGTAAATTCAGGCGGTTCTCATTATTGCCCTAATTCCTTCGAATGCAGTGATTGGAAATTAATTGAATAAATTATTCGTTAAAAAATCATTCCATATCACCCAACGTTGTAACGTATCTACTTATAGGCTTAGTCTAACCACTGAGGACTTTTGTAATTTTCTCAATCAATTTCGGTTCAAACATTTGATTCCATTCATCCAGCTTAATTTGCTGTCAATTTTAATATGAATGTACAAACTTCACGACTTATATGTTTTAAATTACACGACTGCTTGTCCAACTTTCTTCATTGAAGTTTTAAAAACTCATGGTCATTAAATAATTTTAAAAAACTTCGATAGAATTATATTTTCGATAAAAATAAGGGGGAACTTATAAGTAAACAACGATAAATAAATAAATATAATTTATACATGTCACTTAAAATATTTTAATATTACATATAAAATAATTCAGACATTATAAATAAATAAAAAATCTAACCAAGCTCTATGAAATTTATCAAAAATATTTCCATCAATATCATCGACTTATTAGATAAACAACAATGTGATAGTTAATTATAAACAATCATTAACATAAAGGAAAAGGTTACGGATAGATCTATCATTGATAAAGGTAATACTATAAAGGTAAATTAAGTCCAGAAATTATTATTCCAGAAATGAAAATAAAATTCAAACTCCTACATAGCTCTCAGTACCAAATTTGAAAAGAAAAAAAATACTAAACATCACCTTTTAAAGAAATCATTTATTAAAGGGGCCACAACTTCAGGATTTTCAAGATGCACATGATGACCACCATCAACTGTGACATTTACGAGATTTCCACCTTTATCAATTTTTTTCAAGTGGTCCCTCCATAAATTGTAGTCGGACTTACTAAAATGAATGGTAATCCCATTTTTTGCAACTATGTTCAAAACATCAAATGAAATCCTCTCAGCAAGTCCATAAAGCATTTTATCAGTACATCTACCGAAAGTGCGAAACTTCAATCTCTTGTCATGAGTGAACCTATATTTATTTTCAGCGATTTGTACTGCACCTCTTTGGGCAATAATCTCACAGCTCTTTCGTGAAATGGGCAAACCAGTTTGCCTCCGACTTTCGAATAATTTCGAAACAGTTTCTTCCCATGAAAATCCTTGAACATCATTCTCATTTTCAAGGGCATAGTTGAAACCGTCTGTTGAAGTACGATAATCCTCCACAAATTTGCTCATATCACCAGCTGTCCAAATGCGACCACAATCAAGATTGACCATGCGTTCCATGTGTTCTGGGTAAATACCAGCATAAGTGAAACCCACACTGCTGCCAAAAGAATGGCATATTAGACTAACTTTATCCCACTTAAAGTATTCTGTAAAAATATATCGCAAAGCAAACAAGTATTGCTGGAATTGTACAGATAATCCTTTAGGGAAATGTGAACTGAGTCCATGACCAGGTAAATCCAAGCACAGAACACTTTTAATGTTCAATAGAGGCAACAAAGTATCGAATGAACCGGCATTATCGTACAATCCATGGGTGGTAACTATTGGTTGAGTCTGTCGGCAGCCCCACCATTTACCTGCAATGAAAAAATGGCAATTCATTCAGATGAGAATATTATTTCTTTTTTATTCTAAAATTATACAAGATAAAGAAGTCGTATGGAGGATTACGGAGCAAATCAGTATAAGTTATAATTTAGCTGAAATGACTAATAACTTGTAACTGCTTCCTGATTATTAAAACTTATAGTTCAAAAAAACACTTACATCACAATTTTATTTAATATTTTGATTTCTAACCTTGCTTTTTTAGGGGTCTTTGTAACATAAGAACAAATATATTGCTGATTATATTAAATGAATTCAAACGTATAAGACATTACAATAACCAATAGATGGTTTTAGTGCAGTTTCCCAAATAAATTTTCGCCATGAAAAGCAATTCAGATTCGTTTCCAGCGTCTTTTAAAACTCTTACAGCGTACTTTAAAATTCTTACAGCGTACTTTAAAACTCTTAAATACGGATTTGCATTGAAATAAAAATTAAAATTTTTGGATTTGATTTTATTGGGAGATTTTTTTTTTTCGTTTATTTCCAGTCCCAATAGTTTTACGGGCGTCTGGAGATAAAGGCATAAAATCTTATTGAAAAACATATGTTGATATTCGAAAGACTATCTTCAACTTTCATATTTTCGTAAAAATAGCTGTCTTATTACAGCAGTATATGTACTCATACATATTATTATACTCATACATATTATTATACTATAATATTCCCTGCCTTTTTTTTTTTTTTTTTTTTTTTTTTTTTTTTTTTTTTTTTTTTTTTTTTTTTTTTTTTTTTTTGCCTCCCTTTACTTGCCTAAAAGCCCTGACCCGAAAACCCGGACGCTAACTAGTAAATATTTTTATGATGTTATCTTATCAGCATGGGCAATGCGCGGTGTTGCCGGGCACACGCATTTCATACTAAAATAAAATATGAAAAACTAACTAAAAACATTTTTATATAATACAGATATATTCAATTTTAATTTTGTTTTCAGTTTTTAATACTTTGCCATGGGTATAAGGATGAAAATTTATGATGTGTTATGACCACCAAGCAATTTAGTTTCTCCTCCTAATGCTTACGTCCACTGGAAGGAATTGAGAAATTTTTCAGAAAAAAATATAAGAATAATATTAATGATCTAGGTTTAGCTGTTTAACGTACTAAGATCAGTTTCTTGATGGTTTGTGATTTTTAAAATTTAAATGTAAGTTTATTGAAGTATATAACATGGAATTGGTTAAACAATTCACATAGCTTGATTCTTTTACTACTGCAGTTTAAATTTATTTGATTATGTTGGAATCAACAAGCGCCTTAATTTTTGAGTATTTTTTCAGTATGGGAAACTTGTGTACGAAGAAAATATTTATATCGAATTTGGATGAATAGCCAATGACTGAGTCATTACCCATGCATATATAAGCTGGAATATACAATACATGAACAAGAGAATTTTACAACTTTCGGAGAAAACGTTATAAATTTCGGGTTTTACAATTCATGTTTCTTTTTTCAAAATATAATGCGGAGCATTATTGTCAATATAACAATAATAATAATAAAAATCAGGGGCGATAGATCACACAACTTTCACTAACCATCCCACTTTCAGTAAAAAATAGTTTTTTTCTAAGTTATATAATAATATTAATCTGAGATAAATAGTAATAATGTATGATTAATGATATGAAAAGAGATAAAACATAAACTAAACTAATCTATGTGTTAGGGTTATATCCAAAATGGATTGATCAGTATGCTGCATTAAGCAATTCTATCAATAGTGTATTAAAAAACTCTATCTACGTAGAAGGACAGCACTACTTTAAATAAATTATTTCATTAATAATAATACTTTAATTACATTTTCCAGTTTCGACCTTTATTTTTCTAAGACTATATTTTCATTATTTTTTTGCCTATAGGTCAGGACAATAAATAATCTACCATACAATATAAAATAAATATAAATATCATTTGCTGAAAATGGGGGAAGGAGGGTAGAAATTCCCCTAAACGTTTACTAATAAATAATAATCAAAACTAAATATGATAATTTATTATACTGAACTATAGACAAAAAATTAATGAAAATATAACTTTAATTATAAATACAAACTCAATACAATATAAATTGTAACAATTTCGAGCACTTTGTGAAGTTTCAAGCTGGAAAAAAAATCCATATTTTGTATGGAAATGCGATTTAGTTTCTATGGAAATGTTTATTCCCATACAGAATAATTATATAATACAAGTTATTTCTCATAATTAACTAACAATTGAAATTCGTTAGCCTCTCGTCACTCTTTACTACGTCACACATTTGCTTTTAATCTGCGAAAAAAACTTTCTTTATTTAATTATCAAATGATTTCATACGAGGATTTAAGTTTTAATATTCAATGTTAAAGCGTCAGACTATTCCGTTAATGACTTGACTTAACTTACATTAAAGACCATCTTACATAAATTAGTTTGACGAGTTAAACCAAAATCGTTAGAGCACTTTTAGAAGAAATTGTAAAAATATTTTAAACCGATATTAAAGTACCAATGATAACAAGTACCATTTTTACGATCGCAATACTTTCTCTAGCTAAATATTTAATATATGGATATGTGAAAGTAATATGAACTAAACAGTGTTTTGAAGCTAAATAGCGAGAGCAACAATTTGTACTTTTAAAATCGCCCCAAGAGACAGTTGTTTCAGAAAATCATTTACAAACACTAAATGACTATTAATTAACTACTGAGATATTACAGATAAATTAAGTAAAAGGTAACTAAGGACTAAATATACCTAAAATTGTTGATAATTAAGGCTCACTTCATTTACAGCTGAATAAATGGTGAACTACAATTCATGCACAACTTCAACATTGGTCGGCTGAGGTTGATATTGTTATTTCAATATTGTTCTTTAGTTTCGACATTAAAATGTAAAAACTGTTACTTATTATTTTATAATATTTGATAAGGTTTTTACTCTTCTTCTCTCACACTGTAACACTGTACGAGGGCAGTGTATTTATTTCTTGATTTGTAAAAGATCCATGAACAAAGCATAATACTATCAAAGTACAAAATACATTGTGGTTAAGTTACAAATTACATTGTAATAGTTATAAAAAATAGTTATTAGTGGTATGTAAGGAATGAAAAAGCAAATAAAACCAAAGATAATTATACATACATTACAAAACATCGAAAAATTCAAATTTTCCTAATCAAATAAATGCAAAAGAGAAAACAAAACAAAGTAAATAGACTTTTAAAAACAAAGTATTAGTTTCTTTGGTATGTTTAGAGGAGTTGACGATAAACTTCAAGAGTAAATTTCGTCATCTACCACACTATACACTTTTCCTTGAGCGCCTAGTTATCTTCTTGAAGAACTATACTTCTTATTCAGTGATAATGTCTTATCCAGTGATAATGTTTACTGTCGAAAATAGCACAGTCATGCAGAATATGATGCAATGTCTCAGGAGTTCGTCCGTCGCAAAGGCATAATAAATCAGTTTTAGTCTGATGAAACCGTTTTAAGTAAGATTTTTTTTAGTCCAGTATGATGTAAGTTCCATGTAAGAACTGCGTCAGTTTGTAATGGGTAATTCTAATTTTAACACAGTTGGTAAGTTTAGGTTGGTTTTTCCGATATTAATTTCATGTATTTTTGATGTCAGCCACTACCTGTTTTGTTTTATCATTTTGAATAATAAAACATTGTAATCAGCGAAAAATTCAAAAACGTAACCCCTTTAAAAATTTGAGATTTTACGTTTTAGGATACGTAGAATTAAAAAATCGAATACATTTTTTTTTTCCCGTCCGCGCATTTTCTCCGAAACTACTGGACCGATTTTTTTCAAATTTGGATATAAAATCAGAAGTCACCCAAGGATGATCCTCCTACGTCGATATTACTACCCGCATTTTCCTTTCATGACGAAGACCAAAAAAAACTGTATTGCTAAATACTGTAAAGCCTAAACGAATGTACCGATTTTCATGAAACTTGGCTAAAGTCTTCTTCTGGATGATCATTAAATTTATCTATGGTTATTTAAAAGTTTACGAAATTTCCTAAAAGACAAAAAAAAATCGTTAAAATGAGACGATTTGGAGCAAAGATATGGTCTCTAGATATTTTTTATACGTTCTACTGCCATGGTTATATCCTTGGTTTTTTGAAAATGCTACTGAAGCCATGCTTTTTTTTTTTTTTTTTTTTTACCAAATTAGTAACAATGAAAAAAAAATATCTGGTGTGTCCATTCACACGACTTTCCTACCTGTATCCGAAAAGTTTTTATATCTTCGGGTGCAAAACATGTTTTTCATTTATTGCGTGCAAGCTATTGCGCATGGAGCACCGAATTTCTGTAACAGGCATCAGTAGTCAAAACTCTACAAAATAAAAAAAGAAGCAACAAAATCGGTGAAGTAGTTCCCGAGAAAATCTTGGCACAGACAGACAGACAGACCAATGGCTAAAAATGTGTTTTTCGGACTCAGGGGGCTCTGAAACGTATAGATCCGTCGAAAACCGCATGTCGGAAATTTGACCCGATTACAATACTTTCCTTACCTAGTATAGGTAGGAAAGTAAAAATGTTTAGGTCGATAATAGAAATCATCTTTTATGTAATTTTCTTAGTTACTTAGGAAGGTACTGTTACTATAGAAGTTTAACTGTTTGGAAATAATAAACCATTCAGAAATAATTTGTAGTGCTTTTAATGTGGTAGAGAGAATCACACTAAACCGTAATCATATGTAGAAGACTGTTAACCGGAGCAGATTTTCTTTCTGCTTCATTTTCAGCAATTCCGTTGTATCTCTCAATCCATTCTAGTATAATTATTATGTACATAGTGAAAAGGTTTGAAATAGTTTTGGTTAACAAAAATTAGCCTTTATTAAAAAAAGAATCGCTAAAGAATTGGAGGCAGACCAATATCTATCAGTCTAATTTGAGTTTTACTAAGACAGGTTTGAAAACTTTGCTTGTGAAGGATGTTCTACAGATTTTGGAATATGATTACTTTCGAATAGGAGTTGATATATGAAGAAATAAAAATTAAAAATATACTAACGGAAATTTTTTTACATATTTAAACTACTCAGAATAGCCTGGATTGAACTGTAATTTATTGTATACCGCACAAAGATTGATGCTGGCAACATGATGCAATGAATGAATGATATCACTCATCTACTGGGAGAATCACATAACAGCAAATCATAAAAATTTATAGGAGTAAAGATAAAAAATATAACTATCATATAAATCACATATATCTTAAAATTTATTGTGGTACAATCATACACACTAGTGTGTATTCTTCAATCCATTAAAATTTTGCTTATATTATACTTTAACTTCTGTTATATTATACAAGCCTTTTTGGCAATTAGGAATTTTACATTTGGGTCTTTGTTTCACCGGATACACGATATGTAAATTTTTAGAAGCATCCGAAGGAATAATAGAAAAATGTGAAAGCTTATATAAGTATATAAGAAGGTTATGAACATATTTCTTCTAAAATTTCGTTACGCTCATCGATATAAGAGAACATGGAAATAAGTTAATCCAAATAATATGTTTAGCAACGTTGCTAAAAAAGCAGATAAATTAATATTGGGACAAAGTTACAGTATAGTCTAATTTTTAGCAAACAGAGATAAAACCCAAAAACGTTAAATAGATAAAGGTCAATGGTATATTTTATTCTATCTATATGAAAATGACAAGCTAAGATGTAATATGGCAAACTACAAAAGTAACTTAGTATGAATAATCATTACTTAATATTCACAAAGAATCACAAAGACTTAACACAAATGAAAAATTATAGAAACATTAAATCAGGCAGATGTTTTGCAAACAGACTGGTTCATTGAAGATTAAAATAAATAAACATAAGATGAAAATTAAACTCTTTAATGTTTTTTTATGATTAAAACCAATATAGTAAATTATTATTGATTTTGTTGTCGTGAGAGATCTGCCTACCTTTTATATCTTACGGTCTTCGAATACATCCACCAGGTGAGGAAAAGGAAACTTTTCTTTCCATCAAGACCACCCATCTGATAACTCATAATACACTAAGAATGTGAAAATACAATTAATGTTTGAATAACTCAAAAATAAAAAATAAATAAATTTTATTATTAAAATTTCTTAACAGATTCAAAAATATAATCTCAACATTTTATCAATTAGTAATATGAAATATCTAAAAAGATAACAAGACAGAAAATTAATTTAATACATGGACATTGTTCGAGAGGAACATATCTGGAAAAATCCATCTAAAGAATACTATGTAATAAGTAATACATAATTTTAGAATAAGAGCTATATGCTAATATCAAAAATATACTATATGCAAAAATAAACATGTTTAGTCTGGAACAGAAGTTTACAAAATAAAAATATTTATATCGCTACGCGCAGAGCGATGCATCTTCAGTCATAGGTTTCAAAAAATTTATTAATTATTGGTGCAACTCTTTCAGGGTTTTCCAAATGTACATGATGTCCACCTTCGACAACTTGACAAACAAGCCTTGGAGAATGCTGAGAAATTATAGATAACTGTTTCTCAAGCATTTCCTTACGATGCTTCACTAAAACCCCTCCGGTAGCCCTTATAACTAGCATTTGACACTTGATTTGTCCAGCTAAAGCATCTAAAAACGAAGTAGTCGGCCTGCCCATGTACTTCAGATGAGGCCTCGGATCAGTCGTATTTCTATAAACATCCTCAGAAATTTTTTCCAAGTCTCTTGAAAGAAAAAGTTCACAAAATTGTTTAGATAACTTGAAAGGAGTTTTTGCTCTACTGTTATACATGTGATCCAAGTGTTGCTGATAATTTCCCTCATAAGGAATTCCAAGTGTCTTCAAGACTCCGCCCATATAACCTCTTTTTAGATCATCAAGTAAGTACTCAGGCTTTGAAGCCATATTGAATCTACTACAATCAATGCTGATAAATTTTTCAACATCGTCTGGAAACATTCCTGAATATGAAAAGGACAGATTACTTCCGAAGGAATGGCCAAGCAAATTGGCTTTCTTCCATTTGAAATAATCCTTTATCAGGTAACGCATCCATATGATCAGTTCTAAATAATTAGGAGACATGCCGGCAGGAGGATTCGATGATTTACCGAAGCCTGGCATGTCCAAAGCTAAAACTGAAATATTTTCATTTAACAAAGGCATCAGTCTATCGAAGGTAGCGGCATTATCGAATAATCCATGCAAAGCTAATACCGGCTGTTCTTCATTTTTTCTCCACCATTTACCTGAAATTTCATTTATATTTCAATCCAGTTTAATTATAATTTTATAAAATACTTATTATTCCAAATAATACAGAACAATAATGATTATAAATATATAACACAGAAATCGTTCTAAGTATTTAAACCACGGCTATGAATACTTGAATTCAATAATGAAATGATTTTCAATTTTGGTTATATAGATACTGTTATTAAAAAGTGAGAGGTGGAAAGCTCCACATCTTTGATTCTATACTTGCCAGTACTCCTACATGCAGCTGAATGCTGGATAATAAGAGAGAAGGGTGGCAGCTACGGAAATGAGATTTCTTCGTAGAATAGCTGGGAAAACAAGAAGAGACTGCGCCAAGAAGGAACTAGGCGTCCTCTCCGTGAAGGAGGTGTTAAGAGCGGTACGGCCAGGTTGTAAGGAAGGAGGAACACCGAGAACCTCTGAACACTATCGAGTATGCCTCTGACGGTAGAAGGCCTAGAGGCCGACCAAGGATATCATACATTGAACCGTATGTATAAAAGGATCTTCGCCAAGCCATCAACCTGGTAAGAAACAGAGAACTGTTGTAATCCTGGCTAAATGCTCCCCTACGCTGATAGGCACAATAGTGTGACTCGAAAGAAGAAGTACACGTTTCTTTACCGATTTCAAAGTTGAGAGCAGTTGTAGAGTAAATGATAAAATGATCTTAAAATTCCAGGAAAGTTTCTTGTTGTTCCAGACTTATTCTAGTGTTTGAAAAACAGTGTTTCAACTGCCTCCCTCAGAACTACATTCTCCGCCCTGATGAAGACCTGTAAAGTGGGTCCAAACGTCTGCAAAAATTAAATAATACTATTTGTTTAATTTAGTATTTATTTGACCGCACTCCCCGATGAACTCCTTCTCATATTATATCACGGTCAAACATCTCTACATCAAAAGGTGTTTAAGTGATTCTTGAAGTTCTTTTAAATGTAATTACACAAGCAATAGTAATTTTAGAGATATTTTTAAAATATTTTTTTCTTTTAAGACACGGTAATATTTTTCCATTTTGGGAGGAGGGCTTCAGCCCGAAAGCTCCTCTCCCCTCCGCAGATCCGCCTGTGTTACGAACCACAATCCAGTTCATCACCATATGGGATTTAATGGAGTACGGTTTCTAGAGCTTTTATCGCCGAAACCTCCAGTTCATCACTCTCCATAGATTAAGGGATTAGCTAAATTAAGTATGAAGAAAAGGTATGTCGGGCAATTTTTCACTGCTCAGGTCACCACAATTTTGTTCTATAGTACGACATAAGCAGTAAGAGAAATCTTTATATGAAAATCCTGTTCCGATAGAACTGATTTAAGAAATGCCTCGTCAGAGAAATATTTTTGCCATTTCTCCTTCTAGAAGGAAAATGTTGACATTCAGGCCAACTCACGTCATAAGCCTAATGTCTCATACACAACCTTGATGGATTGAAACATTCATGCAAATTGAAAGTTTGACCAATTGAAGAGAAAGCGTAAAGTTATAAGCCGCATGAGAAATTCGTACAGAAAAATGTTATAATGATTAACTTGACCCTGAAATACGTCACCAGATAAATATTTTTAATTATTTACATATTATAGGTAAAAAAAACATTAACATTTTCTCAGCAATTATGACATTACCTATCATAGGATTGATAAATAGTTTATATATATCTTATAACAATTCTAGAGTGTGGTCAATAGCACCGTAAAAAAATGTTTTGATGGCTTAATTTTATATGTCTTGTATAATTTTTTTTTATACTTATTTATTGAGATATATTACAATCTGTCACAGTCAAGGACAATAGTAATAGTGATATAGAGTAGCTCATTCATACCAATAAATAAAAATAATAAACGGCAAATTATGTCATAAAAATAGCTAACGAAATGGCTTATTCCAATATTAACATAAGCCGGAACATCTTTCACTGTGAATAGACACTTGTCGTGATTTTGACCAAATAAGGACAGTCCATCAAAAATGATTTGACGTTAGAAGAATAAAATCACGTACAATTATTAAAAGCAGATTATGAAATAAATGTTTTCAATTTTTTTATTTCCCCGAAAATAATTTTTATAATTGTATGAATTTTATTTCCCGCAATAATTAAATATCATTATTTAACAATTAATAAAACAAATATCATTATTTTTCAACCATTAGCATTTAAAATATATAATAATAATTAAAATGTTTTTTTAAAACTTTTATTATGATATTTACAACTGTATTAGTATGAATATATCAAGTAAATGTGTACATCGTAATATTATCACATGAAACACGCTTGTTGAGAAACTACCCATTGGTAGCACTCTAAATTAAAATATTAAATGAATGTTTCGTTCGACAACATTTCTATTACAATACCAAAATATATAAGTACGTATGTCACCGGCTTATTGCAAAAATCTAATACGCACATTTTTAATGTAGCTAAAAAGAGAGATATTAAAACTGCGAAGACAATATTAATTAAAAACAAGTTTCATTTTCTCACATTTGAAGGTAAGTAATATTGCCTAATATTTTTGTAGACACAGACAGCATTACTTAACCTCAAAATACCTCGCTTATCTGTGCTAAGTGGCCAAAGAGTTTTTAACAGTAAAGTGGTTGTCGTAAAATTGGCAAGTGCAGGACGCCCAAAATAAATATATACATATATATATATATATATATATATATATAGAGAGAGAGAGAGAGAGAGAGAGAGAGAGAGAGAGAGAGAGAGGGGGAGAAGGAGTGTGTGTGAAAAAACGCCCCCATCAAATTTATAGGACTATTTAATAGACTGTTCCCGCATTAAACAATGACGTGAAAATGAGACTAATGTTTATTAATGTTCATAATCGTATTATTTTGATATGATGGGAGGGGGGAGGAGAGTGGATGATATCACGAACAGCCTAAGATTTGTATAGACCTCATTGTTATTCGATTTTTTATATTAAGTTTTTATTACGGGTCAAGTGGAATGCAAAGGGATATTCATGAATTATCAGTACATCTTTAATTTGACTTATTCATCGTTGAACATGTTATTTTAAATGAAATGGTTCTCCAAGTTGAGAGTAGACTTCTATTTCATGGCAGACCCACGGAATGGAACTCGACTCTCCCACTAGATTAGAATAGGTTTGATTGTACCTCAAGGACAACCCACTCCAATTATAATAGGTTATCCAATAATAATAAAAAAGTTCTCCAAGTTGAAAACGCTATTTTTCGAAAATCTTCGTAGATAAAAAAAGTTGTAGGTTAGGATAAAAAGAAATTTAGAATTGTGTTAATAATTTGACAAAAAAGGGCTCCTTTCTAAAAGTTTTATTTTCATTTGGTTTAAGTAATTTACTTTTCTAACAAATATAATCCGTACAGACTCCTTTTTATCACATTATTAACATCCAACTGAAACTTCGTTTAGTAAATAGCTTCATCTCATCGTAACCTACAAATATTTCATACAGGAAAATTCTCAGAATTGGGGCGTTTTAAACTTGGAGAACTTGAAAACAATCTGGGGACAAAACTTTGTCTATTTAATTAGGCATTAAAAACTCGCAAATACCCATTTTCTTTCTACCTTAATGATAATTTGAGCACAAAATCAGGAAAAAATGTGGTCTCCAAAAATATTGAGCCGTTCTCGTGACCTACTCCTCCAAATTCTCAAAATAAAGAGGTTATATAGGACAAACGGCTCAATATTTTTATAGTCAAACTTTTTTATCAAATTATCTTACGATCCAAGTGGCAAGCAGCAAATAGGTGTTTAGAAGTTTTTAGTACCTAATTAAATAGATAAAGTTTGTCCCCCTCCAGATCGAAAACGCCCCAATTCCAAGAATTTTCGTAAATAAAATAGTTGTAGGTTACGATGAGATGAAGCTATTTACGAAGTTTCAGACGGATGTTAATAATTTGACAAAAAGGGGTCTATACCACGGACTATATATTAATACAGTGGAAAGTGAAAATGGTGTGATACCTCACATTATATTTCTTACTTTCGGCTTTCAACAAAAATACCTATTTTAAGGTCCCGGGAGTCCAAAACACTAAATCTCGCAGAAAGGTGTGCGAGAACAGCGTAACTCAAAGACGAAATTACGTGCGACAATGAAATAAGATATTTGAGTTAGGCATATGCCTGGGATGTTATACAGCAACGTACACATTTTTCACCAAAAAGGCTTTAACGACTTAGTTTGAATTCGTTCTATCAAAGTATGATTAAATGGTTTTTGAGATCACGTTGGGAAATAAGCAGAAATAACTGAAGGCAATAAAGCAGAAATAACTGAACGTTTCTCATTGTCAGCCCGAAGAGAATGGAGAGTGACGATAACTTAATGACTATTAACTGTAGGAGTTAATTACAACTACTTTTAATTATAATAATATATAATGGGCGCAGGTTTCTTTCTTTCTTCTTTAATTCTTACTTACACTTGTGAAGTAATATTCTCAAGAATTATTCACTTCTACTGAAAGGGTATTAAGTGAAACTTGTGAGAGCCATTGCACAAAATTTTTTAATCTTCTTATTCTTGTTGTTACTTATGCATCAAGTCATTGAAAACGCTTATAAAATATTGTTATAATCAGAAAAAAAGGTAATTAGCAAACCAAATGACTAAAAATTCATAATTCAAACCACTAGTGGATCCAGGATTTAATTTTGGGGGGAAAGGGGAACTTCAGCCCGAAAGCCCCCTCTCCTCCCGTAGATCTGCCTGTGATTCAAACAAGAAAAAGTAATATAAATAAAACAATCAACTAAAGGAAATATTAACTACGATTACATAAAACCATAATAGTATTAAAATAATCGTTACGAGGAAAAAGTAAAAATCAAATAAAAAGAGATAAATATGGATTTATAATTTATTAAAGTATTATTGTATTACAGGAATAGGAAAATACATCTTTTTTGACTATTTTCTTTTTCTAAGCATTTATTCAATAATGGAAAAGTCAATTTTC